AAGTTTATTTATTGTAATGTTTATATATCTTTTTAACAAGTCATAATTAAAAAAATTTGTAGTTGCTGAGGAAGTCCCCAGTAAGGGACGAAACGTTCAACAAGGTCAKAATAAATTRTTCATCWAATTTATTAAMTGTCTTTAATTTCCCTTTGAAACTCATATATATTAGAATTAATAAATTTTTTAACATCTTGCACAAATTATAAAGGAAAATTGATTACTTGAGTTACAGTTAACATTTTATTTTTTAACAGGCATATAAAAATAGATAAATCTTCAATATATTAAGAAATAACAATTGTATATATTCTAATCATTAACTATTTCATGTGTAATATCAGTTCGTGTATCTTCGTTGATTAACGGTTATTCAACTGAATTCGGTATAATTCGTTACTTTTCAATTTTATCCGTTACAAGTGCAATTAATGTACATGTATACAAACGCACAAAATGTGATAATAATTTAAAATAATTATTAAATGATTTTAAAAATTATGGTTATGTTTTATGAATTTAAAAAGTTATTAAACGTGCGAAATATTTGACGCATGCGCACAGAGCGTGAACAAATCTCTCATCACGAGAGTAAAGACTACCGAAAAGTTCACGAGAGTGCTGACGGGTTAAAGAACTGGTCTTTGAGCTATCACTTTAATTGCTAGAATCTATCCGTTCGTGAATTTGATTTGTCTTTTTGCTCATTTATTGATAATATCGAAGTATTGAAATTCATGATCTATAAATTAATTACGGAGCAATGCAAAAGAATTTTTACATGCTTTTTTGGCACAAAATTGAGTAAATTAATGCACAATTTCACCACTATTAACACGACAAAATATCTAAAGAGAAAAAAGAAGTGCATCAATTAATTGCACTGTTAATTATTATAAGTGAATTGAAATCGATGAAACGAGAAGACCCTTGGCTAATTTAAAATATATACACACATATATATGTGTTCTCTTTATCGTAAATCACCTTGTATATAATATATTTTTTATCTTCGTGAAATTTTTTAAGAAATTCGATCACTCTAATTATGCTTAATAATATTTTTATTAGGGTACTGGGTGAAAGGATTAACTAGATATTACAAATAATTATCAAAATTATTTAGCGTTTGCATTTTTTGTCAAATCTTTTAATATTTTTGCCATGGCTGCAGGATTGTCTTTTGGTACCTAAAATTTATTACTTATTGAAGATTTTCTATTCAATAATTGAGCCGATAATTATGAAATTAATCTAACATAAGTTATATTTCAGTTTGTTAAGAAATATATTTAATCACACGTATATTCTGTTCAAAAATCAATGTGTAAATAAATGTAAGATATCTTTCGTTATGTGTGTGTGTTGATCTCAAAAATAGTTAATATGTTTCTATATAAGATTTTTTCCAAAATATTACATATAATTATATTTTGTATAAGAAAAAACAAATGAATCATAAATGCAATCCTTTAATTTTCTAAATTTGTCTTATAATTTAAAAAGAATTATTTAAATAGATGAAATCTACATATTGAAATATATATTTTATTTTAAAGACAAAATAATACGACTTGCTATTAGATCAATTTTCTAATCATCGACACAAATATATTTAAAATAAATGAATATAAGAAATATATATAATACCATATGTCCTGCTCTGTTGACCCAATATAATCCAAAATTATCGTAATGTTTAGAGTAACCTTCGATAATGTGATCAGAAACCAATGAAACTCTTTTAGCGTTATGCCAATTGTAAGAATTTATCCAATGCATGTTATCAATCCAGAGTACTGTGCCTATAAATTTTATTCTAATATTTATTCCAAAATAATAAAAAAAATATAGTAAAAATGTAGTATGAATAAAAAATTCATACCTGGAATATCAACGACGAGATCCATTTGTCCAGTGTACACGAAGACATTAATATTTGTTTCGTTCAGTAAAAATTCCACTAGAAAATACGATAATATTAGGTTAACATAATAATGAAGTAACATTTTTATCTAATTAAATGGAAATAATTAATAATATGTATTTAACCCGTCAGCACTCTCGTGAACTTTTTGGTAGTCTTTACTTTCGTGATGAGAAATTTGTTCACGCTCTGTGCGCATGCGTCAATTATTTCGCGCGTTTAAAAACTTTTTAAATTTATAAATCATAACCTCTACATAATTTTTATAAAATATTTTAATAATTATTTTATAAATTATTATCACACATTTTGTGTGTTTGTATACATGTACATTAATTGAACTTGCAACGGATAAAATTGAAAAGTAATGAATTATACCGAATTCAGTCGAATAACTGTAAATCAAAGAAGATGCACGAACTGACTCGACCGCTAACAAAAGTAAATTTTTCATGCTCACATCTATTATACTCCGATATTATCAATAAATGAGCAAGAAGACAAATCAAATTCACGAACTGATAGATTTTAGCAATTAAAGAGATAGCTCAAAAACCAGTTCTTTAACCCGTCAGTACTCTCGTGAACTTTTTGGTAGTCTTTACTTTCGTGATATGAGATTTGTTTATGCTCTGTGCGCATGCGTCAAATATTTCGCGCATTTAATAACTTTTTAAATTTATAAAACATAACCTCTACATAATTTTTAAAATTATTTAATAATTATTTTAAATTATTATCACATTTTGTGCGTTTGTATACATGTACATTAATTGCTCTTGTAACGGATAAAATTGAAAAGTAACGAATTATACCGATTTCAGTCGAATAACCGTAAATCAACAAAGATGCATGAACTGACCCGACCGCTAACGAAAGTAAATTTTTCATGCTTACACCTATTATACTCCCATGATGAGAAAAATTCTCACAATTTCTGAGGTGCATAAAAAACAAATATTTTTTTCTCTAAACTTTACATGGGATTGAGAAATTTAGAGCATTCATATTTTGAAAATAGATAAAATTTCATGAAGATAGACAAAATTGCAACTATCCATTCTATAAAAAAAGAAAAAATTAACGTTGTTTTAATTCGAGCGTGAGGAAAATGTTCATAACGGGAGTGCTGACGGGTTAAAAAAGGTTTTTCGCGATATTTTATTTACTCTCGTGCGGATAAATGAACATCTTATCTACAGCGTTAGAAAACGTGTGTGTGTGAAACATTCTACAGTTGGATTTAACAAAAGATAACAACTATTATCGCGACACACAACAGAAATAGAAATTATCAGATATATAAAATCTCATTGTGTTAGATTTGAAGTACTCATTGTATAATATAAATGTATATATTACTGTAATTGTGTGAAAGAGAATTACCTTTATCGACAACCGGTTTCATAAAATCCTCTCGCAACATATTGAACACCATGTCAGATTGTCGACCATGAAAAGTTTTAAGACCAAGTGCACTAATTACTGGTCCGTTCATCAAATCCTCTAAACTTTTACTGTCCCGTAGAATCAAATTGTGATATTTAGCATCTGTCGTATTATTAGATTATTATTATTACTATCTTTCATTTATATGTATCTTTCGTATTTCATTTGTTAAGACATTTCGAATAGACTGACTATTGTCAGATTTATTCAGAAGTAACTATAGTTGGAATATTCTTTAAGGGGGGTTTCTGGTCTAGAGGCATGAATTTTAGGTATTTTTTGAAGTGCCGTAAAAAAAAGGCAAACAATATTTTTACTATGCATTTTTTTATCAGTTATTTATTAACATTTCAAGAAAACTTAAAAATAAAAAAAAAGGAAAAAAATTGAAAATTCAAAAAGTTATCGGCCGATGAAGTAGGGAGGTGTCAAAAAAATGGCGTGTGACTGTTGTCACGATTCTAGCCCTCTTAGTAATCAAAAAAAGAAAAAAACAAGTATTGATCTTAAATAATGCTGCTATCGTACTAATTAAAAAAGAGTTGAAAAATAATTTTTTTTTCACAAAATGGCAGCTGCCTGAAAAAAAATTAATTTTTGTACTACTTTTTTAAATTTTCCGAATTTTTTAAAAATAGTAAAAATTTAAATTTGGGGCTAAGTATAGTTAGTAAGATAGCGATATTACTCTAGATAAATAATCTTTTTTTTTCTTTTTTAGATTGCTAGGTGGGTTGAATTTGTGACAACAGTCGCAATCCATTATTTTGAGACCCCCCCCCTTTTTGAGTTTTAAATTTTGTCACCTTTTTCTGTTTTTTATGTATTCTTGAAATATTAATAAATATCTGATAAAAAATGCATACTGAAAATATTATTTGCCTTTTTTTTAGGGTACTTCAAAAAGTACCTAAAATTCATGCCTCTAGACCAGAATACCCCCTTAAAGAATTTAATACAACATAGGTTGTATATCTTTCATGCTTTTCATAAATAATTGCCATTCGAATTTTGATATGTATGTTATTTTGTAAATTAAATTTATTTAGTTACTTTCCGAACAAGCTCTTATTATTATTATTATCATTATTTAATTGTGCTAATTGTATTGTAGCATGCTAACTAAGCTCAATAATAATTTATTAACGTTATCAGAGATCAGAATGTTGTTGTATACTTTTTTTTTAAAAATCATCACATTCATTAAATTGAAAAAATATGATCACCTCCATCAGTATAAATTGATGATAGTTTCCCGTGAGTTTGAGAAGGTGCATAGAAAGGGGATAGTTTTGTTAGAATGTTATAGAAATCGATATTATCTGTAACTTGGAGTATGGTACTTTTTGTATATTCCCTTAAAGTAGTGGCCATTGACCATCGACCACTATTAACGGCATCTCTAGTTGCGTTGGCTAATATTTCTATTTTTTTATAACCATTAGAATCGATCATACCCTAAAAATATTGAATATAAAATTTATCTTAACTTAATAGTTATGGTAACGGAGTCCTATATATAAGGAGGACGATCTTAGTGTTATAAATATGGCTACAATATTCACAATGAGAAGATTATTTTTATTGCCACTAGAGAGCGCGTCGATTCGCATGGTCTGATTTTTCAAATATATATATACAGTAAAACCTGTTTTTGTGCGGTCCTTTTTTATGCGATTTTGTTTTTGTGCGACTGGTTTTGTGCGATTTTATTTTTATACGATATTTTTTGTGCGATTTATTTTTATGCGGTATATGAATCTTAGCGGCGTTAGCACTAATTTAATGTTTCCTATCAATGTAATACATATACATGTTGTGGACGAACTCTGATTACGTGGTCTCCTTGACAACGATGTATCTGTAAATTTATCTGAATATCCCGTACACTTCATGGCCAATAAAAAAGCATGGGTCACATCAGCTGTATTTGCAACATGGTTCAACGATTCTTTTGTACCAGAAGTTGAAAAATACATGGAAGAGATGGGTCTTTCGTTTAAAGTGTTGCTAATTGTAGATAATGCACCCGGTCATCCCTGTATGGAACATCCTAATGTACAAATAGTGTTTTTACCACCAAATACTACTAGCCTTATACAACCACTGGATCAGGGCATAATCGCAAATTTTAAGAAACATTATATCAAATTAACTTTCAGCTACATTTTAAAAAAGCTAGAGAATGGTAAATTAAGCCTGACCGAAGTTTGAAAAAAATTCTCAATTTTAGACTGCATAAACCATATTATTGCAGCAATTGGACAAATCAAACAACACACATTAAATTCGTGCTGGAAAGTGTTTTGGCCTGAATGTGTAATTAATCGAAACGTTACCGAAAACGCGTCAACGTTATTATCTGAAATTAGTGCGCTCRCACATAACATCGGCGGAGAAGGCTTTGATTCTTTCAGCGATAATGACCTGAACGAGATGATTGAGGACCAAACTGTGAATGATCAATATTTTGATAGAATATGAAAATGGACGGGAAGAACTGGAATCTATTACAGCAGATAAAACATATGCAGGGATCCAGATTTCGAAAAAATTGGAAACGCATTTTTTTAAAATAGATACCAATGCCGAAAGACGCTTAAAATTCGAAAAAGAGCTCAGATCATGCATGTCTCACTATCGTGACGTTTACAAGCAATTGACCAGTCGACCGTCGTCACAAAAATTGATCACTGACTTTATGGTACCAAAAAACAAATCAATTGAAATCCTATCTTCAAGCGACGAAAGCGATTTTCAACCAATTCATCATAAGAAGATGCGCGTTTTGGATTACGACGAGTAGCAGCAAACTATTTAACGTATAATTTGAAAACTTCTCCATTTATATGTACAATGAAAAATTAAATATTATTACAATTTCTTTAGGTCTAATTTAATTATTGTATTTAATTGAAAGCATTCTCCCATCTATTTCATAAATCATTGATGTATTTTCTAAGTCCGACTTTTTTTATGCGGTCCCTATCCACCGCACAAAAACAGGTTTTACTGTAGTTGTATCACACATAACATACAAAAAAAAATAACACACATACGTATTAAAATCTGAACCTCCGAACACCAGCGCCGCCCTAGTGGAGAATTATCGTACCCGATGTTGTCACATTTTCAACGACACAAATTCAACGAGAACGCCTATTTTGATCATTCTCCTTGTATAGAGCTTCGTTGTTATGGTGATTGATCGTTTATAATCGTGGAATAATTGATTTTATAACATTACCGTGCTAAGTAAAAAAGGTGCCCAAGTCAGAACAGAATCGATTGGTGATATCCAAGCATCGCCAAGACCAATTCCTTTTAGGTTACTTTTAATAGTACCTGCTTGCTGTTCCTATATATTTAATATATTATATTATATTATATTATAGTAAAAAATATACTTGATATATGTTTTTATATTAATATGTTAAGTATTATTGTTATAATTGTTTGGTTATTGTCATTGTATATATTTGTTTTTTATTATACTTTTGCGTTCATAAAAATATTATTGTATAGTAATGCAGATAGATCGTAAGACCCCTTAAACCAGTAAAAG